AATAAACGTCAAGGTGCTGGCCTAAGTCTTCTGCCAGCCACACTCCAGACAGGCCGGGACAGAGACACAAACGGCCCCCATCCAGCTGACGTGCATGGGCCGCGCAGGAACGGCCAGTCCTCCACACGGAGGGGACGTCCAGTTGTGAAAGGCAGCGGGTGAGAGTTTCCAAACAGCTAACTATAACAGGGGCTCTCCCAGTTCAACTGTGGGCCGTCTCATCTGACATAAAACGGAGCCACGGGGCAGAGGGCCGGCCCAGGCCACGGCGTGGCCCAGACACGACCTGAGAAGCCAGGTACAGTTCCACGGTCCAGCTCTTGCCCTGGTCGCATGACAGAGGGCCGGGTGGGAGGAAGGGCGGCTGCGTCCTGCCCGCTCGGAAACGCAGGCCCCTTGAGTGTTCTGACCCACACAGAACGGGTGAAATCACGCAAGTCTGCGAAGCCCGCCAAGCTGTGTTTGGGTCCAGAGTGACTCTATGTTCCACCAGGCCCTGAGCACTTCCCGTGTTGGAGGACGCCCCGCCCCGGCCTCTCCAGTTTCACATTCAAGTCTTTAGCTCCCACATCCCTTAGTCATCGCCGAAGAAAACAATCCCACCGCTCTTCGGTTTACATCGGCACAAAATCACACATCAACATCACATTCTCATTTCAAATAAACATCACTAAAGCACATTCGGAGGTTTACTACTAACCTAAACACAAAGTAAATTCCTGAAACAAAATTCAGAATTTGAGATCTCTCTCTCCTCTCTATTGCTCTCTCTTTCACTCTCTCTTTACCTTGTAGGACTCCAAATACTAAAACTTCAGTCTCTACGTTACTTGGTCAATAATTGTCATCGGCGTTAGAAGTTTGCATATATTTGATAAAAGTCAAACCAAATGTGTATCAGGCACGAATCTTTCCAAATTTATTTGACAATGTTTTCTCTACTATTACAATTGATGTTTGATCACCTATGCTTCTAGGATGCTACTCTTTGCTTAGGAATTACAGAGAATCACTTCTAATTAATTCTATGTTGAAAATATATCAAACTAGGCATCAGTGGCTCATACCTGTAATCCTAGCTATTTAGGAGATTGAGATCTAAGGATCATGAAGTGAAGCCAATGTAAAATTCTTATATCCAATTAACCACCCAAAAGCTGGAAGTAGAGTCATGGCTCAAGTAGTAGAGCACTAGCCTTGAGCAAAAACAGCTAAAGGGCAGAGCCGAGGCCCTGAGTTCAAGACTCAGTACTGGCACAAAAGAGAGAGAGAAAAAGAAAGAAAGAAAGAGAAAAAAGAAAGAAAAAGAAAGAAAGAAAGAGAAAGAGAGAGGGAGAAAAAGAAAGGAACGAGGAGAGGAGGGGAGGAGAGAGGAGAGGAGAGGAACAAAAGCCCTGGAAAGTCCTCGATTCTGAGAAGTGAATGGCAAATGGAAAAAGGGAAAAAGTGTGTATTTTTGTTGAAAGTAGGTTTTTAGTTTGCTGCTCTGAGATAACCCATAGCAATAATTCTTTAGGAATTTCACTCATTTCAAGCCAGATTTAATCTTGAGAGGCATCTCTTAAAAATTTTAATTTTAAGATAATTATAGATTCCGTGACATTTTAAAGAAATCATGCACAGCAATTTCTTTACAGCTTCACTTATCATCCGTAAATGTACTGACATAGTCCAAGACGTAGCTCGTGTGTGTGTGTGCGCGCGTGCGTGTGCATGAGTGTGAGTTCCACTGTACGTCTAGATTCAGGCACCCGTGTGGAAGATCTTTTCGAGTTGACTGTACTATTTCATCTTGGCTTTACTTTGGAAAACATCCCTGTGTACATCTCTTAGATCCTGTTTCTTCTTTATGGCTTTCTGTCTCTTGGTGATAGTAACGCATCCATCTCTGCATTTTATAGTCTCCTAGGTGAGCTCTGAGCTGTGCTGCAGTAGGCTCTGTATTGGGGCTGCTCTGTGCTGTGATTCAGAGGACTCTGTCTTTAGTCTGCTCTTGAGCACGCTCTGGCTTTCCCAGGGAAGGACACAGCATAAACATACATTCCAGGCCACATTCACAGGGCTCTTAAAGACACCGCGCGGATAGATTAATACAAAGGCCGAGCTGAAAGACTGTCATAAAAGTCCAGCCTTTAAAATGGCCTTATTAAAATACTTGCTTGTTTTTTTAAAACCCAGATTTAAACTCAAGTTATGAGTTAGAGTGCTCCGTGCAGCAAGAATTAGCTTTATGATCATTTTGTTGGCCAAAGGAATCTGCCATCTGTGCCAGGGTGGGGGAAGCCTAATTCTTTCAGGTTCACGACCTGCCCCCCAATCTGGAAATTGTAGAGACCCTCAATAAACGACAGCATTTCAAATGACCTCAAGCAGCCAGCACGAGTCGGCCCCTCACCCCCTCCAGCCAAACAAGCAGCCTGGCTTTCTTCACAGGAGGTGGGGAAAATGACCAGTGACATGCAAGGGACAATACCACAGAGGAGGTGCCCACACCACTGTCACAGCTTCGTGGCTGGGAGCTGTGGAAGAAAGAGTTACTGTATTTCAGGTAGCTCAGCTGTTCCCTCCCCTTCTCGCCAATCAGAGGCCCCCCGCAGCATTCTGCACTTCCCTTCCTTTCCACAGGGAATTAATTTTCTTTGGAGACCAGCTAACACCCCAAATACAGCAGTTAGCCCACACCTGCACAAAGCAAGTCTTGGCGGGGGGGGGGGGGGGGAGTGGGGGGGGAGGGGGGGGGAGGCAGGAAAGGTCGAAGCGTGTTGGGTGGCCAGGGGTTCATTCACGCACTCTCTCCAAAAGAACAAACAATAAGTTCTCAGCAAGAAAAAAGCCATCGAGTCTATTGCATGTGGCGAGCGGCTAAACTCTGGGCACTCAGCAGAAGTTAGAGACAAGATTGTCTTTAACCAAGAAGCCAAGAATATGGGACGAATCCCCAAAAAGTAGGGTGGTCTTTGCCCGCCTGGGAGGGAGGTGACCCCAGCCCTGCCCTGAAAGCCCACACCTCTCCCTGCATACTGAGGACTCTGTCCACGGTTGCCACTCCATCAGACTTCACACACACACCTGACTTCTAGTCCAAATCGTTTCTTTAACAAACATGCCAAAGAATGCCAGGCCAGACCCCACAATCTCCAGCATTTCTCTTCATAGCAATCGGCAACGGGTTTGCCGTGTGTTCATGTATGTAAAAAAGGTCTCACTCTACAGACTTGGGAAGTGCACCCAATGTGCCGACACCACAAGGCGATTTGTTTTTGTTGATGATGCGTCTTAGAAATAGGACAAAGAAAAAATAAATTCCACTTAGCAGCATTTCCAGAAAATTTAATGAATTAAGGTTGCATTGATGATCAAAGATGGATGGGTTAAAAACAAAGAGAACCAAAAGATGATTGCCTAGCACGACTGATAAACAGACAGCCAAGTGGCGAACTGTTACTGCCTCAACAGTACCCCACTTCCCCTCCATCCATCTACTCGGACACTGGCCTATCTGAAGTAGCTCTTATATTCAATGATCTAAAAATAAACAATCCCTCACACAGAGCATTTGCTCTCCAACAAAATGCATTATCTGCTATTTTAAAGACCTTTTGTCCCAAAAAGTTCTTATTTCATTCATTTAATTACAGGTATTGGATTTTGTTTTTATAAAATAGTTTATTGTGACTCTTTAAGTCTTTAGGAGTGTAATAATTTTAAGATGAATATTCAATGTTCTAGTAAATTCTTGCATCTGGGTGACAATATCTGCTAGTATTTGTTTTTGACAATTATCTGGAGTGCAGGCTTAACGATAATTCTGTTGATATGTTCCTTAAACAAAGCTGTGTGGATGTGTGTTTAAAAGATGACATTTCTCATCTGTCTGCTCCAATTTCAGATGTGCTGCAAACCATGGGAGACATAAAGGGAGAGAAAAGTAACTAATGGAAGGTCATAATTCAGGCAGTGAAAAACAGAATTAATGTATTACCCCGCTGTGGCAATCAGACCTCAGCCAACCCAAACTTTCTGTCCTGGGGAAATATGTGGTGGAGACACTTCCCATCTGGCTGTGACACTTAGGGAAGATTCCCACCATGTCTCCCGCGTTTAGAACAATGTTTTTAAACTATAAAGTGGTGGTTATCTAAGCCATTTGTTTCATAAAGGAAATTTTCAGAGACCCAGGAAGAAAGGCATAAAACCCACCTGTGCCAGATAAAACCTGTCCGTGCTGGAAGCAGTAACTTTTACAGATAGGACAAAACCACATTCAGAAGAAACGGAAAGGAGGGCGCAGGGCCTGGGCTGCTTCTGAATTCCCTCTGCGCCGAGCAGACTTTTAGTTTTAAAAATGCACGGAAAACTAAAACATGCCAGATAGGATACACACACGCACACACACACCAAATAAACGTGAAAATTAGGGAACGAGAGAGGCCCTGTGCGGTGGGGAAGGCCGGCTGCGCCCTCGGAAGGTGTGTCCTCCGGGTGTCCGGGTCTCCGCGCGGCCGGGCCGGCGCGCGCCTCGCCGCG